TAGCCATTTTCGTACATCTTCGTAAGAAATGAAGCGCTGCTGAGCAAGTGGGTGTCCCATCGATGCAAATAAGTAATAATCGGACGGAGCCAAGTCTGGTGAGTAAACCGCATATGAAAGTATTTCCCAACCAAACGTCTCAATCGTTTCCTTGACCAGTTTTGCTGTGTGTGATGGTGCATTATCATGAAGCAAAATCACTTTGTGTTACCTTTTTTGATATTCCGGTCGTTTTTCACGCAAAGCTTAATTCAAATTGATCATTTGTTGTCGGTAGCGTCCAGTATTAACGGTTTCGCCAGGTTTTAGCAGCTCATAATACATCACACCTTTCTGATCTCACGAAACACAGAGCATTGTCTTCCGTCCATAGCGATTTGGCCTTGCAGTCAATTTCGATGGTTCGCCTGGAGTTACCCATGATCTTTTACGCTTAGGATTCTCAAAATATATCCACTTTTCATCGCCAGTCACACTTTCTTTTGTACCTGGCGAGCAGCATTTCGCAAATGGTTTTTCGGTTTTCCTGCTGTCTTTCATTCAGTTCATGTGGAACCCATTTTCCCATCTTCTGGATCTATCCCATGGATTTCAAACGTATGGAGACAGCTTCTCGTGTCACATTCAATTGATCCGCGAGTTGTTGTTGAGTTTGAGCGTCATCCTCATCCAATAATGCAGCAATTCGCTGTCTTCAAACTTTTTCGGTGGTTTTCCACGTTCTTCGTTTCTCACGTCAAAATCGCCACTTTTGAATTTTTTAAACCACTCAAAGCACTGTGATTTACCAAGAGCATGCTCACCGTAAGCTTCGACAAGCATTCGATTCTGCAGCAGTTTTCTTCAAAGGGTAACAGAAAATCAATGCTGTCCGCAAATCGTAGTTTCCAGGCACAAAATTCGACATTCAGTTCAACGCTATTACAAACTATACTGTTGTATGAAACTCGTATTGTTGTGAGTTGAAAATCTTTGTCAGATGTTAGAACAAGGAAATGGCGTCTATGACGCGGTCTGACGGCAACTACGTTGACAGCTATGGCCATCTATTGGTAAATTCCGGTTTCATATTTACATACCTGGTATATGTAGAGGTAAATCGCCTTTAGATAATGGGTTGAGGAAACCTTCTTGTTTACCTGCCTTCTTATTCCCCAAAATACACGGCACGCAATTCGCTATTACATTTTCGATCTTTTTGGATAACATCGGAATATAGTATTCTTGCTTAATAGTTTCTTCGGTGCGTTTTACAGAAAAGTGACCTCGACCACGAGCCATCAGAATGATTTCGCTCTGCATGTCCTGCGGTATGACCAGCAGTTCGCGGACGTCTTTGAATTTGTATAGTACATCATTTCGCATCGTATAGTCGTCGTATGGTTTCTGTTTTAAAACTTCTATGATGGCTCGTAGTTCCGGATCGCTTTTCTGCGCCTTCACAATCTTTAATACAATATTATCTTCGTTACTAATTGCCATAACCGGATAACGGCTAAGTGCATCTACGTGTTTCATCCTATAACTAGCTCTATGTTCTACGATTACGTCAAATTTCTCGACCATCAAGGCCCATCTCGTAATTTTAGCGGATAACTTGACCTTACTTAACGTTTGTTTGAAAGCTATACAATTGGTTACGATCTTAAATCGCATGCCCAAAAGATAGTGTCTGAATTTTTCTAACGCCCTTATTATGGCTAAAACTTCGAGCTCATAGCTAGTATATCTAGATTCTGTTTCTGTCGTCTTGCGACTCATATAATAAACCGGATGTAGTTTATCTTCCGAGTTCTTTTGGAATAAAATTGCCCCTAGACCATCTTTACACGCATCCGTGTGTAACTTGGTTTCGAACTTAGGATTAAATATCTTTAACACTGGGCTGTTACTTAAATCTGATTTCAGCTGTTCAAATGACTTCTTTTCCTTTACACTAAATTGGAACGAATTTTCCTTTCTTAACGTATCACTCAGAGGCTTTGCTTTAATCGCGTAGGATTCTATAAATTTTCTGAAATATCTCGATAGACCGAGAAAGCTTTGAACATCTTTTAAGGTACGCGGCTCTGGGAAATTCGAAATTACTTGGATCTTCCCGGGAGAGGGACGAATTGTACCGTTCTCTATTATGTATCCAAGGTACTCAACTCTTGTTTGTAACAGTTGGCATTTACCTTTTTATGTCGAGACTGTAGTCACTTGCGACTCGAAAAACTTGGCGTAATCGTCTGATGCCGTCCTCTACATCAGGCGCAATTACTATTAAATCGTCTAGATATAGTAAAATTCCTTCGTTAACCAAAGGTCGGAAAATTTGGTTTACAAATCATTGGAAAACGGGTGGCGAATTGCACAATCCAAAAGGTACTTTTAAGAATTGATACTGACCCTGATAAGTTGTAAACGCAGTATATTTACGACTTTGTTTCGCTACGTTCACGTAAAAAAATCCGTTCTTAAGGTCTAACGTGCTAAATATGCGAGCCCCAGATAATTGATCAATTTGATCTTCGATTATTGAAAGCGGATACTTATCCTTAATCATTACTCGGTTTAGTTTTCAATAGTCAACACACAGCCGATAAGAACCGTTTTTCTTTTTTACAAGCACTACAGGGCTCCCATATTCAGACGAACACGGCTCGATGATTCCTTCGCTTACCCACTCATTTATTTGATTTTCGACAATCTCTTTCTCTTTCAGTAGTAAAGTCAGTGCCTAAAATTACATCAACATTCAGGACTTGGGACGGAACATGGAATGCTAACGGAAAATTTACATTATCTACTGTGACCGTTGATTGGAAATAACCGAGCGTCTTTACTCGACCCTGTGCGATACCCGTTAAAAGGACTTCTGATTCACGCAATTTCGATGTTTTAATAGTCTTAAAACCATCCTCTCTCATTAAAGAGAGATGGCTACCGGTATCTAACAATGCATATAAACTCTTATTCTCGATTATAACCTGTTTAAACATCCGATTCACATCGACGACTTTAACAAGAATATTTGACATTACCTGCGTAGTGTCGAACTTATTTTTATTAGGACAATTTTTGGCCTCATGCCCAAAGTTATTACAATGAAAGCATTTTTTCCCTTTATCTCTAAATTTACATTTGTCCGACCTATGTCCGCTTTCGCCACAGTTGCAGCAACGTTTCCCTGGCTTTGTTGTCTTCTTTTCCTCTTTCCCAGATTTGGTTCATCGGTCACCATCGTCTTTGTTTGCTTTGTTTGCTTTGTTTGCTTTGTTTGCCACTTCTTTGCTCGGATTATTCTTCATGGCTGTAGTTCCTCGTTCTTGTATCTTCTCGTATGTCCAGAGGCGGAATCTGAGCTCGCTATAATTTTGAGCCCCATACAACATCATCTTGCTACTGCCATCCGGGATACCATCGATGATGTATTGTATCGTTGATTCGACGTCTAAATCTCCTTGCGACGCCAATTCCCTCATAGTTAGGTAGTATTCTTGAACACTGTCATCCTTCTTTAACTTCTTTTTGGTCAACTTTCGATGGATGTCTGCACTAGTCACTCGCAAGCTGAATTCTTCCTTCAGAGCTGCTTTCAACTTATTCCATGTTTGCACGGTATTCAATCTCCGTACAAACGTTTTAGCGACACCTTTTAGGGACTTGCGGCCAAACATCAATTTCTATATATCATTTTACTGAAACAGAGTGGCTAACACCTCAAAATCCGAAATCCATCTTTCAATCGTATAATGGTCGTTCCCATCGAATGTACGGATAGTGTCTTCAACGTCTTTGAAATTGAAAGTAATCTTCGTACTCTTTTGTCGTCTCTTTATTGGCAAATCTCTTTCGCCGGCCTCGGAGTCAGTGCTACTAACGACCGATGACGAAGTATTTATTTCGTCGCCTGTTCGCCGATTTTTCACATCGTCATTTTGTTCGGTATCCTCCTTGCTGCAACTCATCGGGCTCCCTTTCCGATTCTTCTTCGGTTTCTACATCGTTGTCGTGTGCACGTGTTTTAATGTTCACGAGCGCTCGTATAATTCTCTGTCGTAGTTCCTCCTTGGCGCCGACGTAGCTCAAGCCAAGGATATTACATATAGATGTCAGGTCACCTACTGATAAAATGGCAGAGTATTCCAACTTTGCATGAAATTCATCTGAAGCATTGTCGAAATCGAAACCACCGAAATTACGGTTGCGACTAGTACGATCCCCATCTTTTTCGAATATAAATTTATACAGTGCGTATACGGCTGGGCGCGACGACGCTCGTACCTTGTCGGCGATTGGCTTAATCTTTCCGAGCGTCTTCATCGTTTATCGTTAATGTCTAATCGTCTTTGGTTTTCCAAAATGGCCGATACTCACGTTTGACAACCTTCTCGAATGTTTCTCCACCAACTTCCCGCCAAGATGGCAGACTTCCCTTATTCTCTTTCTTCCTTTGACCTCTTTGTCTTTTTGTCACGTCTTTTCTCTTTTGTCACTCGTTGCGTCTTTCTCTTTTCGTCTCTCGTCTTCACCTTATTCTTTTCGTCTTTTCGTCTCGTTTTGTCCTTCGTCTTCTTTGTCGTTATTTCCCTCGTAGCGTCGTCGTCGCTCACTACTCGGCGTCGTCTTCCTCGTGCGAGACGTCGTTCGTCGTCCTCACGTAGAGCGTCGTTCCTCGTCACACTTCGTGCGAAGCGTCGTTCTCGTCGCACTTGGTGTGAAGTGTCGTCGTCATATCTCGTGCAAGGCGTCGTTCTTCACCCTCGCGTAGAGCGTCGTTCTCGTCGCACTTGGTGTGAAGTGTCGTCGTCGTACCTCGTGCAAGGCGTCGTTCTTCGTCCTCGCGTAGAGCGTCGTTCGTCGTTCTCGTGCAGAGCGTCGTTCTTGTCACACTTCGTGTTTTTCCTTTTGCCACTCTAGCCTAGCTCGATCCCGGACGAGCCTCCAAATTATGTAGGATCTGGGAGAGATCCTAACGGATGTGGGTATCGAACTGTAGGCGTTAATATGGCACTCGTTAACTTCAAAAGATCCTCTCTCACACGGGCACGTCTGTCTCTCTATTCTCTTCAAAAGACCCTCTTCATACTTCATATTGTATCTGCCAAAGCTCCTTCTCGTGGGATCGTCGCCTTAACTCTAGCGCCCGCGCCATTCATGAGGGAAGAGCATAGAGAGCGCGCGTAGTTCAAATTCGCATGCATTTGTAGAGATATCAGATCCCCACACTATTTTTTAATAATTTTTTTTTAAATGGGGTGCTAACTTCTTATCGAAAATCGAGATCGAATAGTTTTGAGCGGCTAAATAGCTTCATTTCATGAATATCAATATCCAGAGTTCCGGATGTATAAAAAAAATTTAGAAAAATAAAAAATAAAAAATTTTTGAAAAATAAATTTTTAGATACAATAGTTCTGATTAAAGTTCCTGCTTCCTTTTAACGAGGCGAAGAATTCTCTGTAGTTTTTAACGCGAGATTCGTTTAATAACCATTTTTTTTAAATAGGGGTGCTAACTTCTTATCGAAATTCAAGATCAAATAGTTCTGAGCGGTTTAATAGCTTTATTTTGTAAATATCTAGAATTCCTGATACATAAGAGACAAATCCGATCAATAAAAAAAAATTTTTTTTTGAAAATTTTCGAGGATCCAACAAATGTTGCATATTTCGCAAAACGTTGGTTCAATCGCTTTAAGTCCTAATATTTTTCGACAGAACTCGTCGAGAACTGTCTAGAATTCCAATCAAAACTACTTAGTACTCTCAAAAAATTTTCAATAACCCTATTAGGGTCAAAGCGATTGGACCAACGTTTTGTGAGATACGCAACATTTGTTAGGTTGATGAAAATTTTCAAAAAATTTGTTTTCTTCTTTCATCGATTGGATTTATCTCTTATACATAAGAAATTCTAGATATTAATAAAATAAAGCTATTAAGCCGCTCAGAACTACTCAATCTTGAATTTCGACAAGTTAGCAACCCATTTTTTGAAAATTATTAAAAAATGGTTATTAAGCGGAACTCTCGTTATAAACTATGGGGAACTTTCTTCGTCTCGTTAAACGAAAGTGAGAACTCTAATCAGAACTCCTGAGTACTATAGTTGGGATGCTAACTTCATATACCCCACTGACAAATAAATCTACCTTTCCGTGAGTCGCCGAATTTAAACTTCGTATATTTATAGAGGAGATGGAAATAATAGACATGTATTTTTTTATATTAGCAATGGTACAAGTTTAAGAGTACAAACTATCCTTATAGTACGTAATAAGCACGAGTACCTAATTTCTTGCATTTTAGCTCATTCTATTACAGCTACTTCTAAATTTTAAAGATGATAAGAGGCTTTCACGTGTTTCCTGAAAGCAAATTTAGTATAAACAATTTAGAATTCAAAATAGCAGACCCAATATGGCTACTTGCTGAAAAAGAAACAATTGTATATCGCTCTTTGACGAATCCAGGAATAACCGACGAGGAGGTGGCAAGAGTCTATTTCTACTTCATTTTTTTTTATTTTATATTTTTATATTATTATTATATTTTATATTTTTTTTGTTTTAATAATTTTTTTATATTTTTATAATTTTCAATTTTTTGTTTACAGCTACGCCACTTCTTAGCTATGTCGATTTTTTTATTTTTTATTCTGTGTTCTTTTTTATATTTTTGTTCGTATTTGTTGTGTGTTCGTGACGCTGGTGTCACCTTGTAAGAAAGGCTCGTTCGCCAAGGCGGTTGTAATAACGACGATTCTCTTTGTGATAACGAATAAACTTTTATTGTCGAGTCAAATTCAAATGTGTCCGAAACAGGCGATAGGTGATACTCGCAAGCCGATAATGGATCCACTCGTTTCGATGCGTGCACCGGTAATTTGCACTCTGCGCGACGTCAAGTAATTTCTCGCAGCTAGCAATGGAATCTATATGGCGAGCAGTAATGAGACCGGCAAATCTCGCCGGCTACGCAGATAATTCTTGCTCACAGAATACCTTCGCGGTACGCGTATATCATTAACTTTACGTGACATGGTAATGGTGATACGCGACGACAAATTGGTGTGATTCGCTTCGCTTTAAGGCTCAGACTCAGATTTGAGAAGCACGAATAACTATTATTGATCCGTATCGATCTGATCGGGAAGCGAACTGAAATCTCGCACGCGGAACGTATGCGCGATAGTTAGCTTTTCGGGTGTCGCGCAAGGGGGATCGCGTGCCATCTGAGATTGACAGCATGGTTAAAACAGGAGCGAGATATACGCGTGTTTTGAACGGTGTCGATGAGCTATTGACTTGTCGTCCCGGAAAATATTTTTAAATTAACGATAATTCCGGAACAGTATTAATGTGTAATAATATAGCAGTCATAAAATGCGGTTGGTATACAAAATCTTTATGCATACAAGAATTGTTTTTTTAATATCATTTCTGTAAAGAGTACATAATAAACCGATGTGAACCTGGCGCCCAACTTTATCAAAATTAAAAATTAATACTATAGGGCGTTTATACTTCGTTTGTATCCGTTTGTACCTTCCTTATTTTCGTTTGTACACCAAACAGATAAACAAAAAATGAAATATAAAAAATGGCCAGCGCTCAAATTTCATATTTTTTAATTTCATTTATGCCATTCGAAAGAGAATCGTTTGTACCCGTTTGTACCTCCCTTACTTTCGTTTTTACCTCAAAGGGTTCGGAGATACAGCGCTTTTAATTTTTGCGCAACCCCTATATAGCGAAATTCGCCAATTTTTAAGATATCGAAATGGGACCAACGAAACGGCATTCGAAAGAGAATCGTTTGTACCCGTTTGTACCTCCCTTACTTTCGTTTGTACCTCAAAGGGCTCGGAGATAAAGCGCTTTTCAATTTCTGCGCAACCCCTATATAGCAAACTTAGCTAATTTTTAAGATATCGAAATGGGACCAACGGCATTCGAAAGAGAATCGTTTGTACCCGTATGTACCTCCCTTACTTTCGTTTGTACCTCAAAGGGTTCGGAGATACAGCGCTTTTCAATTTTTGCGCAACCCCTATTTAGCAAAAATCGCCAATTTTTAAGATATCGAAATGGGACCAATGGCATTCGAAAGAGAATCGTTTGTACCCGATTGTACCTCCCTTACTTTCGTTTGTACCTCAAAGGGTTCGGAGATACAGCGATTTCAAAATTTCGGAAATACGCCAAGAGAGGAAGTCGGCCATTTTTAAAGATATCGAAATGGGACTAACGGCATTCGAAAGAGAATCGTTTGTACCCGTTTGTACCTCACTTACTTTCGTTTGTACCTCAAAGGGTTCGGAGATACAGCGCTTTTCAATTTTTGCGCAACCCCTACATAGCGAAAATCACCAATTTTTAAGATATCGAAATGGGACCAACGGCATTCGAAAGAAAATCATTTGTACCTCCCTTACTTTCGTTTGTACCTCAAAGGGATTGGAGATACAGCGTTTTCAAAATTTCGGAAATACGCCAAGAGGGGAAGTCGGCCGAATTTCAAGATATCGAAATGGGACCAACGACATTCGAAAGAGAATCGTTTTCGAATGCCGTTGGTCCCATTTCGATATTTTAAAAATTGGCGATTTTCGCTATATAGGGGTTGCGCAAAAATTAAAAAGTGCTGTATCTCCGAACCCTTTGAGGTACAAACGAAAGTAAGAGAGGTACAAACGGGTACAAACGATTCTCTTTCGAATTCCGTTGGTCCCGTTTCGATATCTTGAAAATTGGCCGACTTCTCCTCTTGTCGTATTTCCGAAATTTTGAAAACGCTGTATCTCCGAACCCTTGGAGGTACAAACGAAAGTAAGGGAGGTACGAACGGATACAAACGATTCTCTTTCGAATGCCGTTGGTCCCATTTCGATATCTTTAAAAATGGCCGACTTCCCCTCTTAACGTATTTACGAAATTTTGAAAACGCTGTATCTCCGAACCCTTGGAGGCACAAACGAAAGTAAGGGAGGTACAAACGGGTACAAACGATTCTCTTTCGAATGCCGTTGGTCCCATTTCGATATCTTAAAAATTGGCCGACTTCCCCTCTTGGCGTATTTCCGAAATTTTGAAAACGCTGTATCTCCGAGCCCTTTGAGATACAAACGAAAGTAAGGGAGGTACAAACGGGTACAAACGATTCTCTTTCGAATGCCGTTGGTCCCATTTCGATATCTTTAAAATTGGCGAATTTCGCTATATAAGGGTTGCACAAAAATTGAAAAGCGCTGTATCTCCGAACTCTTTGAAGTACAAACGAAAGTAAAGGAGGTACAAACGGGTACAAACGATTTTCTTTCGAATGGAATAAATGAAATTAAAAAATATGAAAGTTGGGCGCTGACCATTTTTTATATTTCATTTTTTGTTTACTGTTTAAGGTACAAACAAAAATAAGGGAGGTACAAACGGGTACAAACGAAGTACAAACGCCCTATGGTATTAATTTTTAATTTTGATAAAGTTGGGCGCCAGATTCACATCGGTATAGAATAAAAACTAAAAAAAATAGACATAGGTAAGAAGTGGCCTAACAGTAAACAAAAAATTGGAAAAATTGTAAAAATACAAAAAAATTATTTTAAAAAATCTTTTAAATAAAAAACAAAAATTAAAAAATCGAAGGGGACTCTCACCACATCCTCGTCAATTATTCCTGGGTTCGACAAAGAACGAGATAAGTGTTTCTCTTTCAGTAGGTCATTATATTGGGTCTGCCATTTTAAATTCTACATTTTTTTACTCGATTTGCTTTCAGGAAACATGAAAGACTCTTTAAAATTCAGAAGTAGCAGTAATAGAGTGAACTAAAATGTAAGAAATTAGGGATGCACCGGATCGTAAAATCACAGGATACAGGATACTGGATATCCGAGAAAGCAATTTCTTCGAGTCGGATATCCAACATTTTCCGGATATCCGACCGGAATCCGGAAAAATGCCTTTAAAAAAAATAAAAAAGCTTATAGAGAAAAAAATTGTGATTTTGCAACAATATATAAGATATTATAGCGTTATGAATGTACATACTTATTTCTAAAACATTTGTGTAATAAAAAATCAACAATTTAATGATATCAAATTTTAACCGGATATATTCTCGGATACTAATGATATCCGACTATCCGGTTGGATAGTAAAAAAGTATAAGTCGGATAATATCGAAAATCAGATGCTTTTCGGATAGCCGGTGCATCCCTACAAGAAATTAAATATTCGTGCTTATTACTATAAGAGTTTGTACCTTTAATCCTGCACCATTGCCGATATAAAAAAATACGTGTCTATTATTTTCGTGTGCTCTACAAATGTACTAAGTTTTATTAAATTCGGCGAGTAGCGGAAAGGTATGTTTACTTGTGAGACGAAACCACTCAAAAGAAAATTTATTAAATAATTTTAAGATTTAAATGTTGACGCAAAAATTTCTGAAGAATAAAGTTGTTTAAAAAAATAATTTTACATAAAACAGAATTCATTTTTTCTACTTATCCAAATCTCAAAATGTTGATAATAAAAATCGGTTCATATTATTAGATAAATTTGAATTATTTTCTATTTTATTACATGTTTTCTTAACATTCTTACATTTTTTGTAGAAACTTTTTAAGTAATGGATTTTTTTATATTCTACAATTCTCTTATAAAAATCGTTCTCCACAACCATCTATTTCTACAGATGACTTAAATTGCTGATTAATATTCATCAAGTCATCTGTAATAGATGATTGTGGAGAATGATTTTTATAAGAAAAGTACAGAAAAGATAATTCAATTAAAAAGAAAAAGATAATGTAAAAGTATCTATGTAAAAGAAGACGTAGAGTTTTAAACTGATAAAGAAAAAATTTTAAATAATTTGTATGCAAAAAGATTAAAGGTTTTTTATGTAAACTATAATCTAATACGATTTGATAAGAATTTTATTCCTTGTCGAAATTTTCTTGAAAGATGGTTCTAATCTAATCCTCGCAGAGAAGGAATATAATTTTTAATACAAAAAAAAATTTTTTCGTATCATTACGATGCGTGAAAATATTGCACATTAACTGTAAAGATATAGTAACGTAGCGGCGCAGGGTAAAGCGCTCACTACCAGGCATGTATGCCCGTCTAAAGGACGGCACCGATTATACTAACTCGGTAATAACGGCTTCATTGAATATTGCAGAAAAAAATGGCTCAATTTTTTATCAGAAAAAACGCTTTTAATCTTTTCGTTTACTGGACGCTGTTTAAGATATACCCTATAGATCTATCATATGTATACTTACGAAACCTTCAGGTTTCTCTGTTCCTTGCTCCAGTTCTTTGATCTTGTTTTCCGCATGCTGAAGTTTCGCTTCGGCTTCTTGTCTACTAGCTATAGCTTCCTCTAACTTTTGCATCACTTCTACTAATCGGCGTTCTTCCTCGGCCCGTGACTTTTCGACTAGGATATCGATCAACGGTTGTACATCAATCTGGAAGCGTTTTGTCGCGCTGAAATCTGGGTCACAGCCTGAACGATGCAACACAATTTGCGATATACATTCCTCTATCAATTTATAATATGCCGGTCTAAAAAATGAGAAAAAAAAAAGAAAATAAAGAGTTAGTTAATAAGGATAATAAATACCAAATATACATATTGATTACTTAAATCGCAATAATAAAAATAAATGCGACTGTACAAGTGTATATACTTACCGAACCAGAGCATCATCTCGAATAAATAAAAGATGTTGAAGTATTGATAGAAAGTATGGTTCGGCGGAGGTATCCATTACCATATTTTTGACTACTTCAAAGCAATCGTTAACATCGTCTAATTCTAAACGTACGTTGTCAAATCTCTGTACAAATTCCTCGTAATCCTCCTCTTTGTGATCATTAAAAATCTTCAAATGCGTAGCCAAGTCTTCCGACTCATCTTTCTCTAACATTTCGAGAATATCGGCTAGACCTACTCGCATTACCTCGTTCCTAAGATGTAAGCGAAAATCTAGATCCTCCGCGGATGATATTATCGAGTTTATGAGTTGAAGGCATACTACCTGTAATATGAAAATAATATAAAAATAAAAATAAATTTTATATTAAATTATTTACTTTTTCGTTTTTATAAAAAAATCACATAACTCGTCGAAAATTTTTAGGCTGTATTGCAATAAGTAATACAAGATTATTTAACACTAATCGTCGTTAAATAAACTTGATTAGTTTTTTTACTTGATTTATAATAATTTATACAAATATTATATTAATTTAACAATGCAATAAAATTATTGTATTTTATAATAATTTTGGAAATAAGACCGTTTATGTTAGAAACATTATTACTTTAAATACGAAGCGCCACTATGGTCTGAATTTTAAGATGTTGAACTATTATATATATTCATTTAAATAAATTAATTTCAGAAATTATAATTGCGTACCAATATGGTTGTCAGACTTTTAACGCAATCAATCTGAAATATTAATAAAATCCCCCCCAAAATTCCCAAATTTAATCTTAAAAAACTGTAATAAAAACTTATTGGGAAAAATATTGCCTCTGCCGGGAGTCGAACCCGGATCTCTTGCAATCCGTGCGAGCGTCCTACGACGCTCCTAGGACACTCGCACGGAATGCAAGAGATCCGAGTTCGACTCCCGGCCGAGGCAATATTTTTCCCAATAAGTTTTTATTACAGTTTTTTAAGATTAAATTTGGGGATTTTGGGGGGATTATTAATATTTCAGATTGATATATATATTGCGTTGAAAGTCCGACGACCATATCGGCACGTAATTATAATTTCTGAAATTAATTTATTTAAATGAATATATATATAACAGTTCAACATCTTAACATTCAGACCGCAGTGGCGTTTCGTATTTAAAGTATTGTATTTTAATTGTACATATAGAAAAGATTAATATTTCTAGAGTAAGATAACGTTACATTTTTTATTTGATTTTCAATCATAAAAACTATCATAAAAAAATTATTTATACAATGATTAAAATCGCACAAGTCTAATAAAAAATAAAGAAATAAATAAAACATACCCTTAAATTTTCGTTCTTCTTATTCATCAAACCTTGTACGATTGGCAGAAATCTTTCACGACCTTTGAATTCGCCATTCATAGTAACAGCATCTAAAACCTTTTTGTGACTATCGCTGGATATGAGGCACACCGCGCCTAGTAACTTTACAGCTTCGGACATTACAGATGGTTTCGTCGGCTCCAATGACCTGGCCACAATGGTAAGGGCCTCGTGATGGGCCAACATCTCCTTTATACCAACGGTATTATTCATAATAGCCTTTAAACAGCGAATACATTCGTATTGTATTCGCTCATAACGGTTATCACTAAGGGAAAACAAATTTTTCATTAATTAATAAAGATTAATATGAATTTCAAATTTTAATAAATTCATAGCAGCACAGGTCTTGTAATAAATTCTGCTATAAGCATCATGCAAAACTGAAGTGATAATAAAGTGAAAATTAAGAATATTTTGCTAATTGAGCAGCGTAAATGAAGTAATTCTCAAATTAAACTTTTTCGCAGTATACGAAAATTTTACAAAATTAAACTGTTTATAATATTACTAGTAAAACTTCGTTCGTATACAATATAAGCAGTTAAGAAATCAACGTAATATAAATATCATTAAAAAACGACATTCAAGCGAATAGTACTCTTACATGAATTACCTATCGTAATATATGAAGGCACTGGAATAGAATAATACCAATGTTAGAATAAGTTCTGCATTCGAATTGCTATGGGACACTTTATTTGAACACGTGGAACTCACTTACTTTCGATAACATTCATTGAGAGTAGCCAGAACCTGCTTGAGACCCTTGGTACCAAATTCCTGTACCCAGCTGAGCGGATTGTTAGTAAGCGCGATCCTGAGAGACTCAATGCAGTTGTAGATCTTATTGACGCTCAAATCAGGCTGCGCCAAGTACTGTATGTAATCCGCCGGTTTGTCGAATTTTGATCGATTCTCCTGTATGCTACCCTTGTAATGCAAAACCAGCATCTCCTTCTTCTTCGAATCCGATTGCTGGCGCAATGGTTCCTTCTTTTCTTCTGTTAGATTCATATTAGCCTAAACACAATAGTAATGATAAAACTTCTACTATTTATTAGATATCATTCCATACAAAATACCTCATTACTTAATAATTACTGAATACTGTGCGTTCTATCGATACGAAACACATAAAGTGAAAAATATTAACAATTCAAATTCTTAAAATATTCTATAATTTTAATGCATATATAAATTTAATATAAAATAAACAAGAGCTAAGTGTCTCTTGCTAATAATACAGTTAAATAATACGATCCATGTCATTAATGATAAAACTATACGTTTTAACTTTTAATATAACCATCCTCGGTGTGACATAAAATAAATTATAAAGTTATCAAAAAAGAAACAACGAAACAAATTTTATAGCAATATGTTTTGTCATCTTTGTAATATAATAACTTTGTAGTTTTCTTAACACGTAGTTTTCTTAACATGTACAGTTATATACATTTATTTAACTTTACAATACTTTGTAATTTTTAACATATGTTACGACCTGACGGAGGTAACAATGTAAATATCTCCGCGTTTGTAAATTATTGAATTAAGATGCAGCGGTTCGCGTGATATCCCAGCGCTGTCACCAATTATGTTACGACGCGAGGTGTAACGGATTTAAATATTTTCGCGTTTCTAAATTATTGCTTGAACATCCCACCTGTTGCGTAAAGCTCTACACAATCTTAGTGCACAACAATCTTAATGGACACACATATGTATTATTCGTACGTACACATGCACGTATACAATATCTCAAAGTCGACAATTCGATTTATGCGAAGTCGCGGAAGGCGGCATAGATCTAAACGGACGTCGGCACGTTTGAAATCACGATTTCTTTACGATTGTCCAGAATGCCGACACCGCTGACCCGCGACGTCCATATTTCGTGAACAACCAATCAGGAAGGAGATCGAGATCTGATGGGAGGCACAACGGAATCCAATATTCATTCCATCGAGTATCGAGCTGCCGAACGGTCGTGGATAAATTTCGAGAAACTAGTTCTTCGTCGAGAATTTAATCATACGGGTATGTGTACGTTACCGCGACTCAGGGTTACCCCTAGGCGTCGTCGCGGTTAAATCTGATCACCAACAGACAAATCTCTTGACTCAGGGTGACTTGCGAACACCCCTAGGCGCGGTCAAGAAGAAACAAATCAGGGCAATCGAGTTCCCTACGCGATATCGTAGTGTCATGTTAGACGCGGCAGGAACACATTAATACAAATAAACTATATAATTATTTCATTAAACTTAACTTATCTAAGTGTATACAACAGAACTAAGTGTATCTATTTAAATGAATAAACGATTTCTTTTGACACGGAACCACAGCAGAGATATTAAATGTTATCTCTCTGAGAGACAATCCACCACCCATGTCACCAATTAATCATAATATGAATTATCGTGTCATGTCACGCCACCGTCGCGAGTTTTTCAGGAAACCAATATTAAGAATTAAATATTCCTGCGTCATATTTTGGGGCCGCGACGCTGCTGGATGTAGAGTGGGGAGCGAAAGACGGTCGAGTGCGGCGGGCGAGCAGGATACTGGATGAGTGGTGAAATGTTTACCAGAGTAGGGATGGTATAATCAGAATGCGAGCGCGTCTCAGGTCGAGCGACAAACTATGAGACCGCTAGCGCCGGCGTATTGCATGCTATCTGAATCCCTTAGAAATCTTTAATATAATTGATTTAGAATTTAAATTGGTAATTAATATTCTCCCAAAAATGGAATTCAGAATTGTTCCTTGTAAATATGCGACATCATAAATTATCTGATTGAACAATCTATAAATTTTTGTTGAATTGGCCATTGGTCTTAATGCTTCAGCGATTAATTGTAATTGAAACAAATGTCAGAATAGTTAATGTTCATTTGTCAAGGAAATTTATTATGGTTCCGAGCAATTTGAGCCGTTTCATCACTTCATACCCTTCGGGAGGGGATAGAGGAGTGGATTGAATGAAAGTAGAATATAACGCCATGTTAAAGTTTAAATTTTTTTAATACGGAACTAGCTGACACGCTGATTACATTGACGCGGATCCCTCGTTTGGTCATTCTATTGAAAAAGGTATTTCATTGTATTACTAACGCGGTTTGGTAGCTCATGTACGAAAAAAAAATTATTGCAGAAATAGATAGAAATGGAAGGAAGGATTGAGCAGCTCCTACAAGCGCAGTCAATCCTGAGAAAGGACAGGCTAAGCAGCTCCTACGAGCGCAGTTAGTCCGACTCAGAGGAATTGAGCTAAACAGCTCCTTCGAGCGCAGTTAGTCTTGGAGAGACGGAAAAGCTGAGCAGCTCCTACGAGCGCAGTCAGCCCGAGGGGTGAGGAAAAAGGAGGAGAGTCAGGTTAGCTTGAAATGAGTTATTCATACTTTCTTTTCTTGAATATACTATATTATTATTATTATTATTTAGAGATATTCCAGTTGATCCTTTCGCCAATTCGGCCGTGATTGACCGTGAGTCGATCAAGAAAAATGAAACCGGGCTCGGTTTTCGCCCCGTTTATATAAACGCCAGTCAGTGGCGCTCGCGAGTCAGGAGGGAGAGGGAGCGTGAATTGGGCCTACGTGACGAATGTGAAAAAAGAACTTTTCTCCCCGAAATATTATTTATACCGGACTAAAACTCGGTATGATTTACGTGAACTTAATTTAAAACTGAGAAATCGAATTATTTCTGCGTTAATTAGAAATTTAAAGTTATTAGTAAACTAAGTTTCGAGTCCTTCTCCGTGGTCCGCGCTGCTCCTTCCTCGACTCTCGGTTGGTCGGCGCGCGCTAACGCGACTAATTCGCGTTTAATTATCAATTTCGAGTAAATTAAAGCGGTCACGATGGCCAAAAAACAATAAACAAAATCGCAATGCGAAACTTCAAAATCAATAATATTTTCGGCCAGGGCGGCTGAAATCCCGCTAAGAATTCGGAACGACGAGCGACACGCGCATCGCGGGCCGTGATTGGTGCGCAATAGCTTATTCTTACTTCGACGGATTATAGGCGTTGAGGCGTTTCGATTAAATTAATTTTCCTAAATCTCGCGTAGGATAGTAATGACATGATCGTCATAACGTATAAAAACGATTCTTTAATTCTACGCGGAGTTATTCTACCTAGAATCTCCTCGCAACGCATCGGCACGCGCCTCACAGGTGATCCGATTAGCTCTCGCGGCACGCACGTCATGTGGTGTCGACACGAGAGAATCGCGCATCGCCGATTGAGTAGGTTTCTCAATACGGAATATTCGTAATTAATCAGATAGAAATATTTTAGATAGACGATGTGAGATACGAAAAATAACTCAGCGCGAAATGAAAAGATAAAAACAACAAAAATATTCGCAAAAAAAAAAACAAAATTATATTCTTGCGGAGGGCAGGACGTAATACGTATACAATGGTTTTGAAATCATAATAATATTTCTTAAGTTGATCTGTGCTTAAAGGCGAGTCAATTACTTGTAATTGTAATGTGCATGATCAGATTGGATATTTGAATTCGCGATGTGTGATGAAGAATATCTTGTGGCATTTTATTGTGTAGCAAGTAACAATGTTTTGTGATTTTGATAACTTTGTAATTTATCTTATGTATTATAATAACACTGAAGATGATCTTATTAAATGTCGAAACGTACGGTTTTAAAACTATTGATATGGATCATATTATTTGATTCTATTGTTAGCAAATGATACCTAGCTCGGCTTTATATTAGCCATTGTTTATTTGATATTAAAAAATAAATATATATATTAACTGCATATTTTATTGTCATACTAGAAAAAAGTATATCTATAAGCTATTAGAACACGTAAAATATATAATATATGCGACGTGTACGCACCAACATTTCCTCAAATCTATCGTTCACCGTCTCTTCGTCCATCCTTTCGATGATGCAACGCTGTTGCTCGATCTCGTTGATATCGTCACCGGAGTGTGGCCTCGGCATGGTGTTACTGCCCGAATAGCCACGCGACCCACTCCCGCGTACGGATTTCTTCGGTCGGCCGAACCATGTGTCCAACTGTAATGATTTTAATTTCGTATTGCAACATAATTTTAACACACATTTCTCGAAAATTAAATCCTTAAATAATATCGTAATCAGTCTACACTTTAATTTGGTAAAGGAAAAGCTCAAAGTAGAATATCACTTTCACTATAACTGCCTAAGTAGAAAATTGGATCCGGTCAACCTGGCGTATCAGGGAGCTTTCCGGTATGCCCTATTCAGGAACTCCTGATTCGGGCCTGATGAGGGAAAACTCAGGCATGCCCTACTTGTGCCCTATTAAGTAATGCCTGAATTGCGCCCTGTCAAGCTATGCCCGACTTCCGCCTGAGTAGGAAACGCGCAGGCAAGACCTAGTAAGGAATGCTTGATTTATGCCCTACTAAGTAATGCCAGAATTGCACCCCATTAAGGAATGTCGACTTGACATCTGAGCAGGGAATGCACAGGCATGCCCTACTAAGGAATGCCAGACTTATGCCTTACTAAGAAATGCCTGAATTGCGCCCTAACAACAGAAAGCTGGATTTGGGCCAAATCAAACCAGAATAAGACGTACCTTATGTGACTCTGTTTTATTTTTCTTTGCCAAAAAATTAATCAATAAATCTTATTTTCTTTTGTAATTAATCAATAAATTGTTAGGTTAGGTTCTTAGACGAAACGAACGAACTGCATTTTTGACAATCAACTTCTTGAGTCTATGACGAAATAAGTTATAATTGTGGAGTTTACAACTAATTGTCATGGAAAGTAATAAAAAGAAAAAACAAGATTTAATACAGCGAAGAGTAGGTAGATATCGGAAAGTTCGCCGTATTAATGCGAGAGAATTTCTTGATATAGCAAGTAAGCATCAATGAAAATGTAATTTTGTTCCCATAAATATCAATGAAAATGTTGATATTTAAAATCAAGTAAATCAAAATCGGAAAAGACATTAAAAATGTAAAAAAAAAGGCGTCAAGTATATTTTGCAGAAAAAAAATACCAAAAATAATGCCATAAAAAAAGAAGTGAAATCAAAATAATATTTCAAGTATCTCTATTTGAAAAGTCCCGTAGAACACAGTTCTCTGAACGGCATCTTGAAGGTTTTCTTATGATGTAGACGTCTTTTCGATATCCTTCAAGACAGTGTTGTATGGAATAATTTCTCACAATTATAATATACATACTACACAAAGTACAGATGACATTTGAAGTGTACTAAGTATAACAACACATTAATGAGAGAACGAAATGCAATAGATAGCGTAATGAGAGGCGCGGAAACTGAAAAGGGATTTTTACATCAATAACAAGTAGAAAATTGTAGAAATAAAAAATCGGAAATGAGCAAGATCTCCAGCAGCAGCATACTTGACGCGCCCGTCTTGTTCATAATTCGATTCACGCAAATAATTCAATAAATATTTTATTATAATTATAAACTATTTTTCGCAAATTAAAGAAATTTTATATATGGGGCATTCTTTCTCAAATCAGCCACCCCCCTGCGCATTTTATTTTTAAAGATAAAATTGTTTTCGAAGCGTCAAAATTTCCGCCTAAACCTCAATTTTTTGATGCCGTATGGTATTTTTTATTTTCTTCTTATGGGTGTGACCATACGTTAAAAATAATGCTCAGTGTTGCGTACGAAGTCCTCGAGTACCCCCGTGACCCCAGCAACCGGCGACGAATAAGCCGCGACAATAACATCGGGTAAAGCTAAAGTCGAGGGTGTACGTGATCTTAGCTGATGTCATGAACTTTTAAAAGACATATCTAGGTCGCGAGTATCTTTTATCCTAATTAAATCATTA